CGGTATTTGGTGTGTTAGTGTTTATCCAGTGTGGGGCTTGGGCTAAGGTTCTTGTCTCACTGTGCTTTATGGCAATGACTTGTAATACGGGTGGGCTCCGGCAACAGAATGAGATGGATGTGGCCGTGGACTTGTGCCCGGCCGTCCCATTGATCTTCACAGTCCTGGCCCTCGTCCTCACCTCCATCTTCATGAGGCTGCGGGGAGCCGAGGGGGATATATTAACAGATATATTCAATTAGGGGACTATAAAAATATGCAGGGCGATCTGCATAGTATGTAGTTCATTAGATAGATACACTCTCCTACATTCAACCTGTATTTTTAAGTTGTAAAACTAAGGGCATAGATAGCTCTTTAAAACTGTGGGTCCCAGACAGATAACCAGGGCCATAGACAGGAAGATGCACATACAAACTCAGTAAAATCAGTCAAAATTTTAAAGTAAAAAATTTTCAGTAAGTATCAAAATACACACCCACAAACCACGTAACCTGAGCTGAATATACTTCCTATTGAAGAAATGACTGAATATAAAATTGCCTATACCATAATGCAAATATTTTACAAACTATAACTTAGCTCAAGTCTTAATGGGGAAGTTAAAACAAAAATGTTAAGATACCTAGATGATTCCTTTAGAAAAAAAAAAAGGAATTTTGGTTTTAATCCAAGTCAGTGTTGGAAACCAACTTCAACTTTTAAAAAAATTATGATTAGTCAAAAAAAAAAACCACAGAAATTTTCTTGGATGAATAAGCTCATTTTTTAATTTCTATATTTCACCAAATGTTCGTAGGTCGATTAAGTGAAGTTAATATATGTCTCAGATGATTTGTTTCTCCTATCTGCCAACAACAACAAAAAAAACCCAAACAACAAAAAACAAAACTGGTAAACACCTCTAATCATAGCTAAAGTTCAGAGTCCCTAATTTGATTATCTTACTTGGAAAACATCAAATGCCTTTTCAATTAACGGAAGTTTTGCTTAAGCAACAAAAGACGATTAGGATACTTGGCAGCTACTGAAGTTTGATTATGTAAGGTATTATCCTTCTGCAATTTCTATTTTCAGTATTTATGAAGATTATTTTTAAAGCTGTCACTTGATATGTTTCAAACTGATACTGTATTGTTAGTTTTGATTATAAAACAAGAAAAAAAAAAGTATTTTTAAGAATCATGACTACCATAAGTAATCCTACATGAAGTCAGAAAGATTCAGAAGCAGGTCCATAAATTAGGCTGTCAGAATTACTACAGTTTAGTGTCCTATTGTGTTAAGTAGAAAGGTTTTTGTTAAGCACTATTTCCAGACATAATTATCACATACAGAATGTATAAGGGCTTGCAAATGAGCACAATACAAGAATGCACAAGCTTTAAAACCTTTACCATCGCAGCATGCTAAGCAAATCATAACTTCAGCTACTTTTCCTATGTGAACTGCAGCTTTTCAAATCCTACAATGAGTCAGCTACAGAGAGATGCATAGCTCCTGCTTCAAATTCAGAACCTTGAACCTTCCGCTCTCCGCAGACGACCAACACTGTGTTTGCAGATGAACATTTCAGAACTACTTTATCGTTCTAGATCTATTAACTGGCATCTTTACCTAAGTGCCTGAAGCTCATTTACTCTTCTGATGGTTACTTAAATGCAAAATGTTTTCAAAGGACTCAAAAGAAAGCCCCATAAGCTTTGGTAAAATTATATGAAAGTCCTATTCCAGACCAGCATTTGTGTTTGGCTGGTCAAATCACATTAATCTTCCAAGAAGCACTTGTAATGCTGGATGATGAAAATATAAATAAATAAATAATGTTATCAATTCCCTCCCCCCTAAAAAGGGTAAAAAAACAACAAACAAACAAAAAATAAAGGAGGAAAACTGAAAAAGGAAAAGAGACAGTCTACTGCATTTCAGTACCACAAGAATGCAGACTGACAACCTAGTGGGAGGAAGCAAAAGCAGAGCAGGCAACTCTCTTTATGTAAATGTGGCTCTAAATTCTTGAATACGAAAGAATTAGATTATTTCTCTGGGTGAACAGAAAGGGCTATTTAACCAAAAAAAAAAAATTAAAAAAAAAATGTTCTGTGGACTGATAATGGCTAAGATTTGCATCAAGCACAAATACAAGGTAATTAAAATGAGAGAGATGGAGGGCTGCAGGTAATGAAGCCTTAACCTGAAAAAGGACTTGGTCCTTGTTGTGGTTTAAACCTAGCCAGACAGCTTGTTCACTCACTCCCAGTGAGTCGTGCCGGGCTGGAAGCAATCGAGGCCCACCCCCTACCCCCGCCACCCCCACCCTGGGGTCTCTCCCCTTCCCCACTCCCGGAGGGATGGGGAGGAGACTTGAAAGAGTGCAATTCCCACGGGTTGAGACAAGAACAGTCCAGCAACCAACGTAGAACACAAATCACCACCGCTACCACCAAAAACAATGGTAAGAGAAAATAACAAGGAAAGAGAATACAATACCACCCGCTGAGAAACAAGTCCGACCCAGAAGACCCGTGTCCTTCCAGGTAACACCCAGTTACCACCCCAGGCATGACATGCTGTGGTATGGAATATCTCTTTGGCTAGGCTGGGTCAGGCGCCCCGTCTCTGCTTCCTCCCAGCTTCCCCTCCTCCCTGACAGAGCATGAGCCTCACAAAGTCCTTGGTCAGGGCAAACATTACTTAGCAACAACTGAAAATATCGGTATTATCACCTCTGTTTCCAGGCTGAAGGTCAAAACACAGCACTGCAATAGCTACCAAGAAGGAGAAAAATTGACTGCTACTGCTAAACCCAGGACAGTCCTGCAGCTGAAAAGGTCAAGTAACAAATGCATTTTACCGTCTCAAATTTCATTCTACATATACAAAGTATAAAGAAACAGAATAAATTTAAAAGATAAAAAAATTTCTTTTTTGTTTTGTTTTTGTTTTCCCCTTGTCCATAAATGAATACAAGTCTCTGTCTCTCTGGAAACTGTCACACACTAGACTGACATCTTCCCTTCAGTGCTAGATACAACTTTCTTCAATTGCTCTAGAAGTACCATCAAAGGTTTCCATTTCTTGACAGTGGGGGAAAGGAGAAATAGTGGCAATACCAACCAACAAACCAACAACAATATAAACTAGGGGTATCAAGCCATCCTAGACAAACTGGCATGTAAGCAATTTATTACACCAGCTATGGTATACAAATCGTTCAGGGATTAAATTATCAACTTCTCCATATTTATATATGAATCAAATGTTCTAATATTTTCTTGTAAATAAACAAATTACACTGCTGGTAATAAAGTAATTTCCCAGTTCAAACATTCCAAATCACTTCTGTAGTTAAAGAGAATCTTTTACATTTAAAATCAGAGGATACTGATTTACTTCCAGCATCTCAGCTGCAAGTTATACAGTTCTGTAACCTCTCTAATTATAAACTTAAAATCAAATATATGGTTCTTTCTAACATAAAGCAGAGCCAAAGAGGCATCAGACTTACTTTAAAAATTTTTAGAAATAAATTTTAGGTACCAAATACAAAAGCAATACTTAATTACAGTATGGCAAAGTTAACTAGTACTGTAGTAACTTAGCCAAGTGGAATGCTCAATGTAAACTTTTAATTAGTGTGGAGCAGTGGAGCATTCAGTTTTTGCCACTGGCAATAACTCTGCTGAAAGAAGGGATGACTAATTCTGTTAAACAGGTGAGATTTAATAAGCAACTTGTTTAAACTTAAAAAAGAGATTTTTTTAATTTATTTTTTTTTTAAGTACATACTTTCCTATCCTTCCATTTGTTTAAAGTCTGTTCTCTTTTGGCTACCATCAATAACTCTGGTATGCTACTAGTGACTTCAGAATATAATTCAAACATACTAGAAATTTGGGTTGGAAATTACATGTTCCCTTGCCAGCAGTCAGAATTTACTCCCATATCATAAACTACAGATTAAAAGAATAAAGTTTAGACTGTTTGAGCAACACTTAAAGCATTAAACTAGATATACCTATGATTAATGTTTTATATATATATATATATATATATCAGCAGCTTTATTTGCCACCGAAGAAAAAGCTGCAGGCTTTCTTTTTATTGACCCTTCGAGGATAAATCATAATCCCTGGTGAAACTGAACAGTTTGTATTAAATACATGAAAATATCTATGAAAACCCAATTTATTTTGAACACCTCTTCTCCAAATATTAAACATCTATTTACCTTTTTAAAAAAAAAAAAACAGAAAAAAAAAAAAAAACAAAAAAAACCAAACCCCAACAAACCCCCAAACAAAACACACACACACAACACACACACACACACACACACACACACACACTAAAACACCAAAAAAGACCAAACAAACAAAATCAAAGCCCCCAAAATCCCTGTGGTTTACAGGAAAACAAAGATTTAACCCAAGAATAACTTTCATCAAAAATATTATCCCCATTCGATTCTGCTCTTCACCTCCTACTCAATGCAAGAAATTAAATAGAATTCTAAGTGTTGGATAACTTTTGCATCATGAAAATTAATGTTATAATGTGAAACATAAAATTTAATTCTGAAATAATGTAACTCTCTCCCCAGTTTTACATGAGGTAGAGACAGACATACTTCTTTGTGGGTTCAGCTGGATACCTACATTGTATTACGGCCGGCATAGACAACAATTTACATGTTGCAATAACTGTTTTAACTAATTATTTCAAAGCCTTTTCCAAATTATATAGCATGATCTTAAAACCTATACGTTCTATATATTACACAGTCTGATAATTTTATCTTTGGCCATAAGGAAATTTTCTTTTACTTGGTATCTCTTTTTTTGAACCTGCTGTTAAAGGTAGATGCTAACATTTTCTGGGTTCTTAAACCTGCATATTCTGTAGAAGGATCCATTTATTACCTTTTATGAAACAGATACATACAAAACACTTCCAAACACCACTCTTTAGCTCTTCTCCAAAAGAAAAGATGACAATACCTGTTGAGCCTGCAACAGCTGCTCAGCAAACTTACGTACTTCTGATAGTAGAAGAGATATTAAAGAATTCCTTAGTATGTTGTTCCTTCCTAGCAAAACCAGTGTGTGTGATACAGCATGCAGTGCCTGAAACTAAAGAAAAATAACAATATATGTAATCCTTTTTACCCCCAAAAAGGACTTTAAATAAAAAAGTGATTTACATATTAAATAAAAAAGTAAAATTCAGAATTTTAATGTTTAAAACTCTATTAATTACACACGTTACGAGTTCTATGAGAAACCACATCCATTGCCCAGAAACTTTATTTTCTTGAAACATTAGCACTACAGGAAACCATCATATGAACAAACTCATGCAAGATTGTGAAATCCCCAGCTGGTAGCTTTTCAGCATTAGCTGTCATCTTGCCCATCTGCTGTCGTAGAAAACTGGTAACTGCCCTGCACATACGGTAATTCTGTTCATCACAGGTAGACAAATGAACAAATGAATTCTTTGAAATTCAAACAACTATATGAGCAAGTTAAGAGCTTTACTGAGTTCTCTGTCAATAGAGTTATCAGGAACAAACTTGATTAAATGCTAACTAACACAAGACACCATATTTTCAAATTCAAACAGTTCATTATCAGATTGTTGCTTAACAAGCTGTAACCAAAGCATTTCTCCTGAACCACAGAAGAGATACGAACTTATATGAGAATTATATTAGCAATTTTTTCCCCACAGTCTTTTATTTATATATATAAAATAACAAAAACAAACAAAAACCACAAAATAAACAAACAAAAAACAAGACCACAAAAAAACAACAAACAACCCAAAATAAACAAACAAACAAAAAACCCAAACCAACTCTCTTGTTTTCTGTACTGGAAATGTATAGCTATTATGCAATAAAACCTACTATTCTCCTAAAGTAAACACTAGTAGAAGAAATTGTCATTTCTATATATAAAAGTATTGCAGTTCTTTCAAAGAAAAAATACACATTAAATTACACATTAAAGTGTAACCTATATTTTTATATAATGTATACCCCTATGACATTAACATTCAGTATCTCTTTGTAAATGAGTCTTTTTGACTGACAAAAGGATATATGACCCAAATTTGTATGTGTAAGAATAACTACATCTTAACCACTTGAAAGCAGACCACTGCATCCTATTAACAGTCGTGTTTAGTTCACTAGCCAGCTGATGTATGTATACACACACACGCGAGCACACACACACACACACACATATATATATATACAAAAATAAAGATACTTGCTCCCCCTTCACAAGTTTGCACTGGATGAATCGTCCTGGAAATTACTGAAAACAATGAACATTTTTAATTTTTTTGTAGTTATTAATGCTAGCAGCTGAGATTTAACTAAAATAGGATTTTTCACAATATTTCGGTATCCTTTCTGGTTTAGAAAAGTCATCATTTTCTAGCTGGAATTCTGTAGGACTAGATATTCAAATTTAAAGCCTGAGCCTCTACTAAAGAAGTAAAAGGGATTTTGTACTGACTGTACTTACGATACTTGAGATATGGGTATCGATGCCACTGAAAAATCCCACTTGTTAACTGGTTAATTAAAGAGTATGGATTTAATATTCTACTTTGGTGGAACCTTATTTTAAGGGGAAAAAAAGGAAACAACAAAAAAATAAGGTTAAAAATAACATTCTCAGGCTATATGCATTAAAATCAAATAGAAAAATTTATAGCATATAAGCAATGAACCTGTAAATAGTGAACAGAAGTAAGTCTTCGTGTTTCCGAGCAATGTTCATGTATTACTAATTAAACTCTGGAAACATTCAAACGGATACTAGTTCAAATAGTATGCAAATTCATTAAAGATAAAAGCATATCTTTAGCTCCCCAGTCTATGAAATGTTACAAAAGGAACTGAAATCTTTTAATCCCTTGGGCTTGCTTAATGGTATAGATGAAATAAAACCTCTGCTCTTCAGGGATTCTCAGGTAAAAGCAGTCAGAAAATTAGATTGTAAAAAACATACAATCAGAAACAAGAAAATAATGGAGCTCAGTTCACTATTCAGGAGCTGCATCATCTGTCCCCAACTCTCCTCTAACACCTGGGCTTCTGCTCTCTTCCCATGTTCCTCAGGATGTAGAGCAAGAGAGAGCAATGCTATACCAGAAGCTGGGAAGGACATGTGGATTATTGGCCTGCTGCTGCCAAACTGAATATATAATGCTCTGCTTGCCTCAAACATAATGATTTGGTCTCTCCTCCACCCAGCCACTGATTTTAAAGCCTACTGGAAGGTATTTTTTGACTTTCTACTTCTTCCCATGTGATTTCGAACTCACTATCCGTTTCAGAAATTGACGGCTTGGCTTCGCGAGCAAAGCTTTGGGAAGGGCTTTAACCATGCTTACTACAAGCACGATGACCAAGGGCAAGTGGGATATCCAAATCTGGTTGGAAAAAAGGCTGCTTAGGCAACCAGGAAGTGTCCGACCACGACTGTCAACTCCTGAGCTAACTCTAGCTATCCATGCTCTGGTCCGCCCACATGCAGCATTGGATCTGCAGCTTCCCATGCACCTTGTCACCTACCATTTAGGCCCTTGCCCGTCCACACAGACAAGTCAGAGCAAAAGATTGACAAGCAAAACAAACAGCACACTCCTATGAGTCTTGTTTCCTCAGAAAATTGGGATAAAAATCTTTACTTACAAATTATTTGTTTAGAATTCATTTATCAGAATGTGTTACACTTTTCTTCAGTTACAGCTATCCAGAACTTCTGAGTTCAGCTGCTTCATGAGCTGCCATGATATACTACACCCCACAACTGTAAGAACATTGCACCACAGTTTGTTTCCCTTGTTTACAGCTTTCATGCCAAGTAATAGTCCTCTTCCCCAAGTGACTAGCATATTTGGCAATACAGGACTAAGGCAAAAAATTATTACAGGTATCCTCAAATTGTGAGGTGTTAAAAAAAACCACAGCATTTTTGCCTCTGAATTCACATCACCCTTGCCCTTTGCTGACTGAAGTCCAACCTCTTTTCTAACTCATCAATGTCAACTGAGAGTTTCACTTTTGGACAGAGAACCTTAGTAGCCCTTTTTTAATCTTACTGTGATGTTGCTTCCTTTGTTAATTTGACAGCTGTCATTCTGTCTCTCTTCCTGTTTATGCTGCACTGTTTCTCCTATCTTCAAGCCTTGGGATTTGATGCACTATTCCAATTCTTTCCTCTGTAAACCTCATCTCAAGCCCTTGCTTTGCCCTTTGTCTTTCATAATCTTTTTCACTCTTTTAAACCTGATGTTCTCTGCTAGGACCCTCAGTTAGCTTGGCTGCTGCAAGCTGCCTTTTATATTACAGTATTTCAGGACTTTATTGCAGAGCTTTAGCTGAAAACATTCTGGCAGACAGTGTGACATACAATAGAGGCAGGTCTCTTTACCACGTTTGACTGCATGCACCAAAAATATTACAAAACCCAAGGAAAAATGCAAAAGGGGTGAACAATTATTTTGTTGTTTTTTTGTGTTTTTTTTTTTTTTGTTTAAGAAAAGGTTCAGAAAAGGTGCAAAAAATTAAGAAAATTAAAATATTTCAGTATCTGCAAAAGAATTACTGCAATACAGTACCTGTATGCTGTGCAGAGGATGGAGATGGAGAAATAAGTAACCTACAGTCTGTCTACTAAATCTTCTGAAAGTCAGAACACTCTGGTGAATTATACTGGAAAAGCCAGAAATGCCAGCAGTACATATTATGATACTCACCGAAGTAAACATGCAACCTACTGGCTTAGGTGCAGCTTTGTTGAATTTGTGGAGTAAAGAAGGAAGATCTCCAAGGAAGTGAACTACATGAACTCCTACCAGTTGTCTTTGCTGACCAGGAAGCTTGTATGTCAGACTGGGAGTGTGAAAGTGCACTCACAGACTGAAAGTATCTTTTTCAGGTTTATTTCTTCATGGCTGCCTAAAACCTACTCTCTGATTCACTGATCAGCAGGGTGCCTCTGGTTCCCTACATGTTTTTATACAATCCAATACCAATTCACTAGCAAAAGAGTCAGCAATTAGTGCATCTGTTAGCTCCTGTCCACAGGCTAAAATAAGCCAAGTCGGCTGCTGCCGCTACATTGTCAAGGAGGAGAGAGAGAGACCAAAGAAACTGCTGCGGAGAGACACTTGCAGCCACCTCCCCATTTCCCCCCCATCCCCTTATTGCTTCTTCACACCATCAAGACCTCTGGCAGAAGCAGATTTCCTAGGTCTTTATCCTCTCCTTCCCTGCATAAGGGAAGGGTTTTACTGATTAAGTAACAAGGATAGACTCAGATCAGAACCAGCGCACCTGCAGAGACTGGACTACCCTTAAGTAGTATGTCCTCTGACTGACATACACAAACCTTTCCCCTTCTACTCCTGACAGTTGTAAACATTTGGTACACAGCACAACTTCTTGCTACTTCTTCTAGCTGTTTTCCTAATCAATTACAAAAGAATAAAGCACTAAAGAATATCTTCTTCAGTTTCATTATTCTTCTAGTATGTGTTCCATAACAAATACTTTCTTGAACACCAGAGAGACAAAAGCTACCAAATCTTCCATCTGTAAACACAGTTTATTTTACAAAGAATGCTCTTACATTGCTCTGCTACAGTTTACCTCTGGTAAACTCATGTTGCATTTTATATAATTTATCTTTAAGTCTTTAATTATTCTTTCATTTTAAATTTGTTATAAAGTGTTTCATGTTATTGAGATACACTGCTACCCAGGTAACTTCTCTAACTTTCAAACACAAAGCGTGCTGCATTAGAAATTCTACAGTTACAATAATACCATCTCTTTGATTCTAAACTTACTTCACTTTTTCTCTCAGTTTCACATAATCACAGAATTCCAAGGGTTGGAAGGGACCTCAAAAGATCATCTAGTCCAACCCTCCTGCAAGAGCAAGGTAACCTAGAGTACATCACACAGGAACTTGTCCAGGCGGACCTTGAATATCTCCAATGTAGGAGACTCCACAACCCCCCTGGGCAACCTGTTCCAGTGCTCTGTCACTCTCACAGTAAACAATTTTTTCCTGATGGTCACACGAAACCTCCTATGCTCCAG